TCTCTGGCTGCCCTTAGTATTTTCTCCTTCATTTCTTATCTTTGTTTAAAGTATGTTTTGTCAGAGACTAAGATTGTAACCTTTGCTTTCTTCTGTTTTCCATTTGTTTGGTAAATTTTTCTCCATCCATTTATTTTAAGCCTGTGTGTCTTTGCAAGTGAGATGGGTCTCTTGAAGACAGCATACTGATGGGTCTTGGTTCTTTATCCAGCTTGCCTTTCTGTGTCTTTTAATTGGGACATTTAGCCCATTTATATTTAAGATTAGTATTGTTATATGTGGATTTGATCCTGTAATCATGACGCTAGCTGGTTATATTTCATACTTGTTTATATGGTTGCTTCACAATGTCACTGGTCTGTGTACTTCAGTGTGTTTTTGTAGTGGCTGGTAATGGTCTTTCCTTTCCATTTTTAGTGCGTCCTTCAGGACCTCTTGTAAAGCAGTTCCGGTGGTAATGAATTCTCTCAACATTTGTGTGTCTGAGAAGGATCTTATTTCTCCTTCATATATAAAGCTTAGTTTGGCCAGAGATGAAATTCTGAGTTGAAAATTCTTTTCTTTATGAATGTTGAATATAGAGTCCCAGTCTCTGATGGCTTGCTGAGATGTCCACTGTTGTCTGATGAGCTTCGCCTTTGTGGGTGACTGGGCTGTTCTCTCTGGCTGCCCTTACCATTTTTTTCTTTCATTTTGGCCTTGGAGAATCTGATGATTATGTGTCTTGGGGATGTTCTTCTCATGGAGTATCTTACTGGGTTCTCTGTATTTCTTGAATTTGAATGTTGGCTTGTCTTGCTAGGTTGGTGAAGTTCTCCAGGATGATATTCTGAAGTATGTTTTTCAAATTTGTTTCATTCTCATCTCTTTCAGGTACCCCAATCAGTCATAGATTCAGTCTCTTTACATAATCCCATATTTCTCAGAGGTTTTGTTCATTTCTTTTCGTTCTTTTTTTCTGTTTTAGTCTGCCTGTCTTATTTTAGAAAGACAGTCTTCAGCTCTGAGATTCTTGGTTCCACTTGGTCTATTCTGCTATTAAAGGTTGTGATTGCATTGTGAAGTTTTTGCAGTGTGTTTTTCAGCTCTATCAGGTCAGTTATGTTCCTTTCAATACTACTGTTTTGGCTGTCAACTCCTGCATTGTTTTATCATGATTTTTGGCTTCTTTGCATTGGGTTACAACGTGCCTCTTTAGCTCAGTGAAGTTCATTTTTATCCAGGTTCTGATGTCTACTTCTGTTACATTAGTGATCTCCACCTCAGCTCAGGTCTGAACCATTGCTGGGGAGATGTTGTGGTCATTTGGAGGAATGGGAGCACTCCTTTTTTTTTTTTTTTTTAAACAGTGTTTTAAAGTTTTTTTTTTTTTAATGCTAATTCTTTCTCATTTTTGTGGGCTTACCTACCCATATTTGAGTGCTCATCTTTGGATGGGTTTTTTGTGTGTGTTTGTTGTTGCTTTGTGTTCTGTATTTTGTTTCTTTGTTTTTCTTTGAACAGTCTGAGCAGTCTTCTGTCGGGCTGCTGCGGTTTGCTATGGGTCTGCCCCAGACCCTAGTCACATTGGTTTTTCCAGTACCTGCAGGTATCGTCAATGAAGGTTGTGACAGAGCAAATATGGCTGACTGCCCCTTCCTCTGAAAGCTCTGTCCCAGCGGGGTACTGACCTGTTGCTGGCCTGAGTGTGCCTGTAGGAGGTGGCTGGAGATTCCAGTTGAATGATCTCACCCAGCAAGAGGAATGGAATCGGGGACCTGCTTGAAGATGCAGTCTGGCTGCATTTTGGTAGAGCGGTGGTGCTGTGTTGGGGATCCCTCAGCCCCCAGTTGATTTGGGCTTTTCAGTTCCAAAGCCTGGACCAGCTGAGATGCCCAAAAAGCAATTGTCTGCCGCACCCACTGGGCACTCTGACATAGGAAGAAACTCTATTGGCCATAGAGCATGGGTGGGCTGGCCGGAGGCCCTGGGTGGAAGGACCCACCCAGTGAGGAGGAATGGATCTGGGTCTATTTAAAGAAGCAGTCTGGTCATGCCTCAACAAAGCAGCTGTGCTGGGGAACTGCCTCTGCTCTATTCAGCTAGGAGTCTTCAATGCCTGCAGGCTGGAGGGGCTGAGTCATCCAAACAACCAAGGTGGTGGCCTTGTGGGACACCCTCCCACAAGACAGTGTCCCAGGGAGACTCCAGAGTTCTGTCTGTAGATGCATCTGGGTGGGTGTGGCTGGAGGCCCTGACTCCGAGGTCCCCCACAGTGAGGAGCAATGGATCAGGGTTATGACTATTGTTTTGACTGGCTTCATAGTATCTCACTGAGTTATCTCTTCATATTCACATTTTCTTATAATCGAACATATTTTTCACCCTGTTAATTCCCTCTCACTCCTATTCATGTACACAGATTTTGGGTTACTATAAATAACACCATAAATGTTTTCTTCCTGTCTCATCCCTTATATCTCCATCAAAAGCAAATGCTATCCTGAATGTTTATATTTATTATCCACTTATACAGCTTACAATTTTATATCCTGTAGTATGTCTAAGGCATATGCTGTTTATTATACTTGCTTTAAAATCTCATTAGAAAATATTATGCCATAGGTTGTTATTTGGTATTTGCTTTTCAATTCAGCATGTTAAGATTATTTGTGCTGTTGTATATGGTTGCCATTCACTTATTTTTCATTGCTTTCTAATATATTTTATTAGTATACTACAATTTATCTGCCCTCCCGACTATACCCACTTAGAGTATTTAAAGTTTTTGCTATATGAACAGTGTTCCCTCCCAACATTTGTGTGCATATCTTCTGTATACATGTCCTAATTTTGGAGGGGTTTTTAATATCTAGGAATAGAACTGTTGGATTGTAGGTATGCACATGTTCAGATTTAAAACCCAATGCCAAAGGATGGTGGAAAGTGATGGTACCACCAGTAACATAAAATAAATTACATTGATAAGATGTTGGATGAACCCTATTCAACACTTGGCAATACAGGATTTCTTTCTTTTTGAGATGGAGTTTAGCTCTTGTTACCCAGGCTGGAGTGCAATGGCGCGATCTCAGCTCACCGCAACCTCCGCCTCCTGGGTTCAGGCAATTCTCCTGCCTCAGCCTCCCGAGTAGCTGGGACTACAGGCACGCGCCACCATGCCCAGCTAATTTTTTTTGTATTTTTAGTAGAGACGGGGTTTCACCGTGTTGACCAGGATGGTCTTGATCTCTTGACCTCGTGATCCACCCGCCTCGGCCTCCCAAAGTGCTGGGATTACAGGCGTGAGCCATCGTGCCTGGCCCGCAATACAGGATTTCTTAATTTTTATGAATTGATTACATGTAAAATGATTTTCTAATTCTAGTCTTCATTTATGTTTCCCGATTTCCAGAGAGACTAAAACTTTAGATGTTTCTGGCCGCGTGTTTTTCATGTTTTGTGATGTGACTTTTTGTTCATTTTCTATTACTTTTTGTCATATTTGTTATTATGTAGGCATTCTTTGCAATCTTTTGATATAAAATTTTAATCAATTATATATTCCTGATTCATTTTAAATTATATTTGTGGCAAGTGTCTTCTGCAGATTATAGCTTGTCTTTTGTTTTTCTTTTTTAAAGAAGTCTTTTGATGAACATAAGTTTCTTGATTTTATTCTAATTTTTACATCTTTTTTATGGTTAGGGCTTAATGTCTCTTTGTTAAGCCCTTCCCTACTCCAAAACAGGAAGAAATCCACATTTTATTACATGTTTTAATGTTTTGCTTTTGATGTAAAGATCTTAAACTATATAGAGTTTATTTTTGTGTAATGTGCATGGCAGTGGTACATTTTAATTTTTTTCTTATCAATAATCACTATTTCTAGGTTCCTTTCCTGAACAGTCTCCTCTTTTCACAGTAATCTGCCATGCCATTTCGATAGACACTTAAGTTCCGTTTATTTTCAGATGTCTTTCTATGCTCCCCCTTCTGAATACTGTCTTTTCAGTTCTTGTATTTGGGTACTGGGTTCACAGGTGTCTATTACATTATTAACATATTTATTAAAAGAAATATGTTAAATTACAGAGGGTCATGCATTGACCAATCATGAAAGTGTCTCATGAATTAAATATTATGATTAATTCAAATCTGTGAGCCTGAGCTCCATCAAAGGGATAAAATAAATAAATGATGCTAAGAAGATCAGTCCTGTTCATGGTCTTTTTCCGTCTTTCTTGCCTAATGACAAGTTCCCAGAAATGAGGGAGCAAGTGGATACAAAATACTTTTAAAGGTTTTAACTGTGCAGCTTAGATGTTTTCCAAAGGGACATACACATTGCTGTTTGTGGCAGAGTCTAGCATTTGAATTCAGAGTTCTGCCCCGTGGCATCCATTGCCTCACGCCTTTTGTTCCCGACTCCTTCCTTGCCACTTCCCCACCACGCTGATCGCTGTTTATACCACTAAGAGGCAATATATTTCTTCTTCAACCCCTGTCCATACCTCCTAAAGCAGCACCCACAGACCCTACTGCTGGTTGACCAGATTAAAAATACAATGAAATGATTTCTGGCCTCACATGTGTCTCCCTCTTTTCATTTTTATTAGTGATGTGAATTTTCTAGCTGGTTTGCTCTGTTCCCAGCTCGCTCTTTCAGCTTCATTGCTTATATTATCACTCAGATGTCACCTTCCTCAGTAAGACCTTTCAAGACCACCCATTTAAAACGGCAGCCCTTCACTCTTGATTCCCACTGTCTCCCTCCTGTGCTTTTTGTTCATACAACTTATCACCAGCTGTCTGCCTCCTCTTCATCAGAATTTGGAGCTTAGATGGTTTTTGTCCACGGGTGTATTGTCAGCATCTACAACGATACTTTAAACACGATAGACGCTTTGTGAACATTTTGTGAATATTATTACAAACAAAGCGCATGGATGTTGTTCAGTATGTGTGTCAGATGAGTGACTGAGGTTCAGAGGACTCAAGGGACCCACGATCATACTTAACATTTTTTGGCATCTGTCCCACTGGAGGTCTGGGGGTAGCTGAAGCCTCGGGTTGTCACAATGGAAGTGCTGGCTGAAAGACAAAATTATTTTCAGAATACAGCTTTTTTAGAAAGCTGTAATTTAACTTTGCTTTGATGCACAGAAATTTTAATCTATGTGACTTTTGGGAAATCTGAAATTGAAAATGTGCTTCCCTTTGCAGGAACCGTAGGCATATTAAGCAAACGCTCTGTAGTTTATATTTAATGCCAGCTTGTCGCTGATCTGTGTTCTTTTTCTGTTCTTGTCACTGACTCAGATCACTGAGACTATTGTGAAGACTACTTTAATATTGCCTTAAATCCCGTGACAAATTAAAGGTACAATATTATAACAAGTCACCAACCCTTATTTTTTAAGAGTATAGAAATTATTATATTAATATGTAGTCACTGTAGAGTAACTGAAAACCAAGATATTAACATCAAATGAAAATACAGCTGGTTGCTACAACGTCAGCCTTGTAGAAGCAGTAGCAAAACCTGTGCTGTCTCTTCCCAATCATGAGGAAAACCTTGCCGAACTCACAGTGAGGAGCGCTGTTTGGCTTCGAGGCTCTCGCATCTCCAAGAGTCACTGAAGATGTAGCCGGATATCCTATTTTGAAGACAAAATTCCAAATTATTATATGTATTTACATTCATATGTTTACCCGTGCCTGGAATATTAGGGGTAGAAAGAATCTTAGTGAATAGCCTCATTTTGTAAATGATGAGACAGAATCTAAAAAGAATATGCTTGCGGTTAAATAACCAACATCCAATATCATTTCTTTGCTATTAACCCAGTTCTCCTAATTCCGAATGCATTACATTCACACTTGCAAAATATATTATTTTAGTGTCTACCGTGTGTCAGACTCTATTCTGCACGCTGGGGTTACAGCAATAAACAGTGAAGACAGGGTCCCGGCTCTCATGAGACTTACCTTATAGTGAATTTTCACAAATACTCTTGTGAAAATTGTATCTTCACATACTAAATGTGGTTTCGTGTTTACTTCAGTTGTTAGTTTGCAAAGTCATTTCCCCATCTTTATACTCCATAATCGTACATTCTCTTCCTTCCCCCTTACTCCCCCCAAATGAAAGAATGATTCATATTCATTCATAGCTCTATATTTTACAGCTACTATATAAAGCAAGGTAGATTAAAGAAGAAAAATATCCAACCACAGTTCACTGAAATCATGTTTATATCTCTTGGAAGGAAAAATTTTAAATACATTTTGCATATATTTCTCCTTTGTTCCAAAATGTGTTCACGGTGGTTTACATCAATGTGCAATATAAGAAGATAAAGGCAAAAAGGGAAAATACGAACGAGGAAAACATAGTAGAAAAAATATGTTGAGTCCTGCTGAAACCTAAATGGGGAGAGTGCACAAAGAGCATTTTGTGATGTCCTCTGCTTTTAGTAATGTGCGCCCCACATTGGGTCCAACCTTTCTGGTAGCAGATGCTAAGAAATAAAGAGTTCAGATTATGTGATTGATGAATATAATAAGACAAAGCAGCATTATTATTAATACAGTTATTAAAAGAGTTATTCTTCAGAAAAGAGTGCTGTATAATGTGTAAAGTATCCTGTAAAATGTCTTCACAGTATGATAGCCTGTATGTTCATGCATCCTCAAGCTTTAGTTAGGAGTGAATGGCACCAGCTTTCCTGGTACCTCGAGTCTGTGAAAGGGCATGCCTTAAATCGGGAACATGGGCAATCAAATAAACAAGTTGACATTGTGGATTATGCATTTATAAACCAGAGCTTCACATCCAGAGGTAATCAATGATAATCGTTTTATTTATTTATTTATTTTTTTTTTGCAATGAAGCCCATCAGTGAACTACAAAGAGATTCTTACTACACTGTGACTTCGTGATTAAAAGAGTCATACATATAAAATACTTAGAAGTGTGCCTGGAATACAGTAAATGCTAAAAAGTATATATACGAAGCCATAAAACAGATAACTTGCAGTTTAGTTCAGATGTTGGTAATAAAAGCATATTCTAACTATAGGCCACTTGAATCTCCTGAGGAGTTCCACAATTGTCCCAGTTTCCCTGGTCTTGATGGAAGAAAGTTGATCTAAGGTAACTAATCCCTGCTTCCTCAGCCTGGCCCAAGTTCAAGAACTACATTCCAAAGTGTTGTACCAGAAAAGGCTAATTGTCAGAAGTGAAGAGTGTGATAGTAGGCTGGGGGCATTAGCTTTATGGTAGGGTAGTAACTTCTCTGCCATCCCGCTGAGCCATCAGTACCAGATTCTTGTGCAGTAATTGTAACTTCTAGCCTACTGCCTCCCAGCATTCACCAAAGGCTGGGTGAATAAAAACAAGTGCACAGGATTGCTTACCTAAAGGATATGTGATGCTTTTGTAGATTGCTCTGAACTGGTATTGGAACCACATTCCTAGTCACTGTGGAATTGCTTTTAGTACTGAGGATTTTCCCATTATCTGACACTAGATGGCAGTCTAATAGTTGGGACATGGGGAGGGGTCGCCCTTGTTCACTTGCGGCGATCAAGTTCCTGGGACTGTGCTCCACTACGCCCTCTAGAGGAGGGCCCGGTCTGCCTCTGCATTAAGTGCAGCTGTGTTTCCGGATGACAGTCTTACTATACAATTTTACTAATCTATGGGTCACCAAGTGATTTATAATTTTATTTCGCTCATTGAGAAGACGTTGCTTTTGTTCTCTCTAAAGCAATTCCTTCAGTTACCTCGTTTCAAAATTCTGTATTGTTATGTAATTTTAAAGTTACTTCATATTCCTTTTGGGATAAGACAAGGTAAAAATATACAGAAAAAGATTAATTAGCTATAAGTAATTTGAACACTGCGTGAGATGCTGAGATATGATAAGTTCTTCCTAATGAATAAAGATGGTTTTCTCCACCTTCGTTCCCTCCCTTCTCTTTCTCATGCTGAGAATTAACCTCCGAAAGTATTTGCTGAGAGACTTAGTAAGTAAATTCAAAAGCATTGTTTTTAAAAGTGGTGCTATGATAACAATAGTTATAATGAGAATGTTAAAAAAGATCTAGGAAATAAACGTCAAAGAACTTCATATTTATTTGTAAACTACATGACCACTCCCTAGAAATCTCAGCCTAATAAGCAACGGCTAGCAGCCTTTACAAAGGTGTTATCTGCAAGCAACGGACACTTTTCTGTGCCAGCCTGGTTGTCCACACTGGGTGCGGGCACTGATCAGGACACGTGATTTAATTCTGGCAGGAAATCACAGGAATCCTGATGAAGTGTAACTTGATTGGCAATTTCATTTACATTAAAATGACTAATTAAGTGTTCTTTTCTGGAGGTCAGAAAATAATGTGACATAAATCGTTTCTCAAAGTTCACTGCAGGAGAAGAACTCATTCATTTGATTCTACCTGTTATGTTATTTTGGGACCTTGTTGGGAGAGAAACATGCCTCAGGGATGTATGCTGCCTTAATCCTTGTGTGACTGTATCTCTGCCCTGACTTAGACATCCACGTTGCTTTGCCCTCCTCACATTCAGGGCTGTGGAGTACACTGCGGGCTGAATACATGTCCAGGGTGGGGAACAAAAGGATCAGTGATACTTAGTGTCTTAGGGAGCACCAAGCTGGAGCTTGGTCTCCAGCTGAATTTTCCTTAGGGTTTGACCTGAGGGTCTGAATCTGCTTGCACAGATTAGTGAGAGATTGATCCCTTTACTGTGGGACCTCACTTATTATGTAGAAGCCAGAGTTAAAGCCATTTAGAGAATTATGTAGTTCCTAGATGAATTAAATTTACCCCTGTCTCTCCCACTTTATACCATGGTTCAAGGTTAAGGCCCCTTCACATTCCATGATCTGATCTCTGACAATCTTCACACAGTCCTTTCTTTCTACTCCCTGCACACATTCTTTTATTTGTTCAACCAACATTTGGGAGTGTCTATATTTCAGGCATTGTGCTTGGCACTGGGAATACTGCTCTCCTGGAGTTTAAGTCCATGGAGGAGATGCACATCAACCAGAGGATTACATAAGCCAATTCAAATACCAGAATATATTAAAGGGGGGATGGCACAGTCAGAGTCTCAGGAAAGTTTTCCCAAGGAATTTAGTGGGAGATTGTGGCCAGTGGACGGAGGGTAGGAGCCTTCGGGCAGAGGGCATAGCCAGTACAAAGGCCCCGTGCGTGGTCTCACATGCCATGGATTAGTGATAGTCATGTCTGGCACTTGTCCATTCCATTGCTGGGCTTTTACAAGTCCTCAGGAGTGTTTGTTCTGTGTGCCGAGTTGAACTGGATGTGAGAACCAGCTGGGGTGTGACCTGCCGCAGGGCACCTCTGAGACATCAGCAGCAACGGGAGAACAGTGATCAAACTGTGGCACGCAGGTGCAGAAACGCTGCTTATTTCTTAGGAGTTTTGTTTTGTTTTTAAGAATCCCTTCGTAGAACCTGACGTGGAGGTCCTGTAACTATATAAGAACATGTCTGACTGTCTCTTGATATCATGTACAGCGTTTTAAAAATTTTATTTGTATTTCTTGTAGCCGTGTTTTTGAAGGATTTATATCGATCACATATTTCTGGGTGTGGGACAGCCTGCTTTGTGCCTTTTGTTTTAAGGCTCAATTTATACTTCATAACGTAGCAAAATCTCTTCAGTATTCGATAGTGTTTTCTATTACTGTGTAGGCAAGTAATATGCCAAACTCAGTGACAGGGAGTTGATGGCTTTGTTTGCTGACTGTTTATTTCTTCTTCAGTGTGAATGTTTATTATTGTCAAATATTGCAAGTATCCAAGAGATACACTATAATGACCCATATTTCCAGGAAATATGAAATTTAGAGGTAAACACTACTTCACACAAAATGTTTTGTTTATACTAGTTCAGAAATGGCCATGAGGAGGTTTGAAACCTTCTTGGCCCATTTCTATTTTAACTCTTTCTTTTTTTTTTTCTGAGATGGAGTTTCGCTCCTGTTACCCAGGCTGGAGTGCAATGGCGCGACCTCGGCTCACTGCAACCTCCGCCTCCTGGGTTCAGGCAATTCTCCTGCCTCAGCCTCCTGAGTAGCTGGGATTACAGGCACGCGCCACCATGGCCAGCTAATGTTTTGTATCTTTAGTAGAGACGGGGTTTCACCATGTTGACCAGGATGGTCTCGATCTCTTGACCTCGTGATCCACCCGCCTCGGCCTCCCAAAGTGCTGGGATTACAGGCGTGAGCCACTGCGCCCGGCCTATTTTAACTCTTTTTAAAAATTTTCTCATGAAAATAAAAAGCCCGACGCTATGCTATCACTTGAAATTCAGTTAAGTTAGAGGACAGCTTCAGTCAGTGCTGAGCTGAGTGGGCAGCCAGAAACATGTTCCGAAAAAGCTGCTTCTGGTCGTCTCCACGTGACATCATTAAGCAGAACAGAATCTTCCAACCTGCACTCTAGCCAGCCTTCCTGGTGACCTCACTGCTAGAGAAGGGAAAGGTAAAGGAAGGCTAGAAGATCTATGGTTGGTTAACTTTTGGGAAATACTAATATATTTTCCAAACAACGTAGATTTTAAAGATAATTTAATATGGACCTACTATATGCCAAAT